GAATGAAGCGATTCAGATTCGATTAATATCTCCTATAGACATGCTTTCTACGTGTAAATGATTTTAAGCCTTTTATGGTAAAAATGCAAATGCCTTATAGACATAATATCTAGGTGCTGAATTTGGTTTAAGACATGGTATCTAGATGCAATTGAACGCTTAAGTCCTATGGGCATGATATCTATATGAAAGTAGGATGTACAGAATTCAAAAGGAACCATGAGCATGATTTCTATATGCATTAACATATGCAGATCTGCAAACACCTACAGGCATGATTTCTATATGCGTGCAGATTTCAGAATGACTTATAGGCATGATTTCTACATGAGAGTTGCAGAATTCAGAAAGATTTGTAGGCATGATTTCTATATGAGAGTTGCAGAATTCAGAATGACCTATAGGGATGGTATCTATATGCATATGCAGATTTGAAATACCTATACGCATGATATCTACCCCTTTTTGCATACATAATCACCCACCCTTTTCACTAACCATCCCCAAGAGTTTATTACAAATTATTACAGCCCAGAATGAAGTAAAAATACATCAGAAAAAATAATAGTACAATCAAGGAGAGCCTGATTCAGACTTCATGTCTGAAATATGAGGTAAACCAACTCCATGTGATCATGATCCAAAGCCTTTCTCCCATTTGAGTGTGTCAAAGTTCCCTAAGAGCCTCAAATGAACTCCGGGCAAGGCCCACACCCAAATGTGTTATCAGATTGGGACAAGTGCAGTGTGAAAAGGCCAGCCCTCAAGTGTCCAAGTTCAGAGGGAACTCAAAGGGTCCCAAGGCAAGGCTCACAAGAGGGATTCCCTTTATATAGGAGGGGAATCCCTTTAGAGTACAACAGGATTAATTACAAGGGTACAGAGACGTGACAACTAGATGACACCCTGACTCGGGTCTCGAAGTAGCTCTCTAGGCTTCATCAATCCTAGCCACGTGCCTTGGGAACTCCCCGTTTCCGCAATGATCGTGGTTGACGTTATCACAATATCGAGTGCCGACGAACCTCGAGGGAGGAGTCTCGACCGTGGCCTTGTAGCTTCGGGACTTTGAGGCGGTCTTCCGAGGTGCTTTGAAAATGAGAAATTGGACCCTCTGATTTCGCCGTATACACTAGTCAATCTCTAATTACTAAATCCTTAATATTAGTGTTGTTCTCTTTTACAGGTAATGCACATAAGCAGAAGTAAAACGTGAATTGAGAGCAAATAGCAAGGCAATTTTGCAAACAATTTATGTGTGATTCAAGCGTGCATTCCTGAAGCTAGTTGAACCAGATAGAAGAACCAGTTCCAAATGTCTATCTTTTATTCTAGTTCAATTGTAGTAGGTGATTTTACATTGTACCTTTCAGCTTATATAGAAGCAATTGTATTAGGTACTTAGAGTTTTCAAGTTAGAGTTAACTTGAAGTTGTCGCAACGGTTGAGGCTGTGTGCCACAACGGGATTAGAGTTAATCCTAGATTTACAAAAGAGTTTTTGTAAATGTAGCTTTTGACTCAGTGATTTTAGTGGAGAGTTTGGGAAAATCCAACTGGAAGATAGGTCATAGTTTTTTCACCTTTGAGCCAGTGTTTTCCATGTAAAATCTCTGTGTTCTTTATTTTTTGTATTTATTATTCCGCAATAGTAGTAGTTGGAACACATAGAAGAACTAGGTCCTTCTATAATCAAGTTAAGTAAACAATGTGGGTACCAGACAAATTAGGGTTGTGCACAGTTCGGATCGGATCGGATCGGATTTAGCACATTTCGGATTCGAATTTCGAATTTCGAATTCTAGAAAATGCAATCCAAATCCGATCCGAATTATATCGGATTGGATCGAATTTTAAAGTTTGGATCGGATCGAATCGTATTATTATGCCTCAAATTTAAACTAATATGTATATTTTCTTTGTAAAAAAGGCAATACATTAAGAAAAATTCATGTTTATGCAATTATGAGTATGGCTGTCCAACGGGACGGGACAAAATTAACGGGACGGGACGGGACGACATTTAAGCTGGACGGTGGCGGGACGGGACGAAACGGGACTGGATGAAACGGTTGTCCCATCCCGTCCCGCTAACAAACAGGACGGGACGGCATGGGACGGGACGAAACGGGACGGGACGGGTTTCATGGGCCTTAAGTGTAGTTTTTTTTTTTTTAAATGTCTAGTTTTTTGAAAATGACTAAGTTTTTAAGTTTGCAATGGCTAGTTTTTTGAATTATTTAACAAACTTAAATGTTAAAACGGAAATTAAAAAACTAAATAAAGAATTATAAAATATTAAAACAAAAGATTTGTAATGAAATATTCTAGTAATTATAAATTTATAATAGAGTTATAATTTATTTAATATAATTTCAAAGTATTAAGTAACTAAGACAATTCATAAAAAAAATCAACGCTTAGAGCTTTTTATTTTATTAATAGAACTTTCAAATCTCAAAACCTGTTATATCATTCATATCTTCCCATAAAACTTCTGCCCTAAACTTAGAAGTAGAAGGAGCAGTTTCATAACCTGTTGTTTCTATAGATTTATATTTATCAAACATTGATCTAGCATAAGAATATATGCTAGCTTGGCAGTCTTCAAGAGATGGTTGTTCATTTTCTTGAATTGCTAAATTCTAATAAATTTTACGAACAAGTCCCTTTGCACCTCTTAGTTTCAAAGATGGGTTAAGTAGAGTAAAAATTAAATAAACTTCGGGAATATGGAAAAGAACTTTTTAAATTTTGAAATTATTTCATTAATGGCCGGCACATAAGTTGGATTTGTTTTATACTTACCAAATACAACAGAAATTCCACAAATATACCATAAAAACTCGCGGGACAGGCGAGACAGGACGGGATAGCCGGGACAAGCGGGATGGGACGGGACGGGACGGGGCGAAATGGGACGGGACAAACGGGACGAAATGGTCGTCTCGTCCCATCCCGTATCCCGTTTAACATTGGCCCATCCCGTTGAAAATAAAGTGGGACGGGACTGGACGCGGGACGGGACAGCCCGTCCCGTTGGACAGCCATAATTATGAGAGTACTATGGTGCCAATATAGCTAAATCTAGCAGTTGTAAAGGTAATAACTTGGAGGTTGATGTAAAGGAAGTACTGACTATCCAAAATTAAAGTGTTGTATTTACACATGCCCTAATAATTTCGAATTTCGGATCGGATAAAAATATACCAATCCGAAATCCGAAATTTTAAAAAACACAATCCGAAATCCGATCCAATCCGAAATTGAATGGATCGGTTCGAATTTCGAATATCCGATCCGAATGAACAGCCCTAACACAAATCATCCCCCCCTCGCTTGTGTGGTATTGAAGTATAAAATATCAGTTGGTATCAGAGCAGGTTATCCTTGAAGAGGCTAACACCTTAGGAACAGATCAAGATGAGTACACCACCTGAAAACTGGGATGGACAATCCACTGCTAGGCCTCCACTCTTTCATGGCCAGTACTATTCTTGGTGGAAGAACAGGATGAGAGACCACATCATAGGAGAAGACTATGAACTTTGGGATATTGTTACTGATGGTCCCCTGGCTACTACAAAGAAGAATGTTGAAGGAGTGGACGTGCCAAAGACGAGAGTTGATTGCACTGCTGAAGATTTGAAGAAATGGGAAAAGAATGCCAAGGCCAAGAAATGACTTGTGTGTGGACTAGGTCCAGACGAGTACAACAGAATTCAAAGCTGTACTAAGGAAATCTTGGACACTCTAAAAGCGGCCCATGAAGGAACTCCTCGAGTAAAGAGATCAAGAGGAACACTGCTGTGTTGATACCCAATTTTTTCCTTATATTTTTATATGCAAAATATCTTTCAAAATAGTATGTGTATGCATATATAAGTATGTCCCAAAGTCCTATTATTATTTCTTAATTTTTCAAAGATTTTTAAATCAATTTACTACCATATTTTATCAAGAAAAACCCAATGATGATCCATAAAATTATCATTTTTGGTGATTCATTAATTGGATTCTCATTTTTGTACTAAAATATGGCTAAGATATTTTTTCACTCATTTTTATAAATTTATTTGGTATTTGTAAGGATAAAATTGCATAATTGCAATATTAGCCATTTTTAAGTTTAAATCTGTCTCATATTTATAAAATGGGATTTTACATTTTTAAATTGATAATTATATATTATAAGTCATTTTAGTACTTTTAATTTGCTTTCAAAAATTTGTTTATTATTTTTTATAAAATTAAAAGGGAAAAAGAGGCTATTTAACTTATAGCCACATTTGGCTCTTTAATTTGGACCAATTAAACCCAATCCCCAATCCAAATTAAACCGACCCAAGAACCCATGCCCAATCCTAAAACTACCCGACCCAACCCGGATCAAATCTTGACCGTTGATCAATTTTGATCAACGGTCTAGATCCGCCCTTACCTTTTTTAATCAAACGACCCCCCCAATACCCCTCATTTTCCCTCACTCGTCCCTATCTCTCTAACCTCTGGTTCTCTCTAGAACCTTCCCCCATCCCCTCTTCTCCGATGAATCCTTTTCACCTTCTCCGGCCACCCTCTAACCTAGATCTATGGTGGCTTCACTACCCACCAAGCCACCTATGGCTCCTCACGTTTGGTTAACTGAAGCTCCATGACTCGACGATGAAGGGTTGTGTCCAGACCTCTGTCGATTCGAGTTCCACGGCCATCTCCGGCCCCGTTCCGGCGAGCTATGTCTATTTCGAAGCCTGGTCTCGACTCCTCTTGCTTAAATCCAAGCCTTTTCTCATCGTTTGGGTTCCTCTGAAAACCCTAGTTTTGAGGTTTTTCTAATCTCCTTAGATTTGTTCCAGATCCATGCTTTCCTTAAGATTTTAAACGATTTTACATAATAAGTACTTTGGTTCTATGTGTGGAGTATAAAAAACTGGAGTGCAGAGATCAGTTTCCATTCAATAAATCAAAGCACAACTAATATAATTGCTTGCTCTTTCATGATGACACATTTGACTACAACAAAATTCATAGAAGGTGGACAACAAGATTGTCAACAAGCTCTGCAACAAAATGGTGAATGGAATGAAGTAGTCCTCAGAGGACTCAACAGCTATTATCAGGTCAAGAAGCTTTATCTTTATCTTAGATAATGGGGACAAACAACTGTAAGCTACATCTGAGAACTAAAGTATGTTGAGTAACATATTACCAGTACAAATGTTCACAATAGAAAATAAGTCATTCTGTTAAGAGCCTCCAGCTTTCAACAACTTTTAACAAAGGAAACTCTCCAATTTAGCCTTGATAAATGAGAGCTAGACACACCATTGGTTCTCCCTTGAAAATTAGCAGAGGCCCAAAAATTAATCCTGTAATGATTCTAGCGCCTCAAGACCTATTTCAGCCTCATTTACATGCTCCAATCTACATACACCAAAAGCAAAATAAAGCTACACAATTAGACTTAATCTTGTGGGTAGAGTTAGCCTTAACGTTTCTATGTTTGTCCACAGAATGTGTAAGTGTGTAATATCAACACCTCTGGAAACTCCCTACGTGTCGCACATGAGACACAACCACTTAATTCAAAATTTGAATTGCGCTTTACAGCTTCCACCTGTCCCGTTTGCTCTGTTATCTCAGGCCTCTCCTCTGAACCTATGCAAAGTCTAGACAGTACGGCTTCTTCTTCATCTTGCCGGACATATCTAACCAGCGCCGAGCTTCAATCCACACAATGAGTCTGTAGATTGAACAAGGTCGTCTTGGGTAAACCTTTTGATATGTTACTAAGGTTGGTTTTAAGAACGTAATAAACTACCTATACTAGTCTCGGGATTAAACTTGTTTATTTTCCTTTTTTAATCAATTATGCTCTAAAAAGAAGTTTCCAATATTAGATGTCGCTAGAAACTTTATTTCACTTAACATCCATCATCAACTTGTGAAAGATGGTCCTGCAGTGATCATATGGTGCATTTGGAAAGAAAGAAATCAGTTGTTTTGATGGAACTTCAACTCCAACTCTTGTTCTGAAGGCTAAAATTTTGATGCATCTTTTCATGGAGTAAACTTCGTAATGTAAATAGTATTTGACTTTTTTTTGGATTTTGTAAGCTCCTTCAAATTTTTGTTAGGGTCATCTGACATTGTCCAGAAGTGGACTTCTTTTGCAATTATTGTGTATCTTTTGGATTCTGAATGAATGAAATCTACCTTTACTTTCTTTTTAGATGACCGAGAAATCAGTCTGGGCCAACCCTTAGGATCAACTGCAGCCTTTGAAACTCAGGGGTAATGGGCCCGCGCCTCCATCCTTCTTCACTTAAATACCAAGCTTAGTTTACACAGCACAAGGCTCGAACCTATGACTCTAGTTCCTCAGCCTTTGCCACTTGAACTATGTCGGAGGCAAATGAAATCTACCTTTACCCATTAAAAAAACTTTTATTTCCACTTAACAATCAATTTAACCTACCAAGCAACCATTTCTTGAAGGATCGCAGCTAACTGATCATGGTTATCTTTACCAGTTTGAATATGAGAGAAGCAAGACTATTAAGAAGAGTTAGGTAATATTTGTTAAACAGAATACGGAAAGGGAAGATAAGGACTTCAGTTTTGAATTATAGATGGAAATTTACGAAACCAATGCGAAAATAGTTGAGTTTTACTGAAGTCAACAAAGAAAGGTTTTAAAAGATCTCAGTAGCGAAGATTCATATAGCTGACGCCAACTTAGTCATGATTGAGGCGTAGTTGTTGTTGTTCAGTAGTGAAGTAACAACCTGCATGTGAGCTACTAAGTCAATCCGCAATCGGTATAATTTCTCGGTAAGAATTGTTTTCTGGTTAACATTTTTATAACGTAAGTTCAACAGCTCATTCCTCTATTTAATGGGATTCACCACTTCAAGTCAACAAAAGGGACCCACATTGATTTTTTGTCTTCATTCCTTCATTAATTTGAGATAGTGATGTCCTGTTAAAGAGAATCACTATTGAAATTTACCCTGATTTACCTTCTCCTTTTTCAATTAGAAACTACCATTGTCAGTTGATGACACGACAGGTCTTAAACAATTGTCCAACCCAAACTTTCCTGTAACAGAGCTAGATTTTCTCAGGACTGAAAAGTTAGAAACTGAAAGCAAAAACAGGCTTACCTTCTCCTCAAGCTCTTGAATAGTATTTCCCGTTAGCATGGTGAAGAAAATCCATTGTATACTTTCCTCTTTTTTCCAAGAAGCTTGGCCAGTTTATTTACCATTGTGACCTGTATATGAAAATTCAACCTCCTTCAACAAAAATTGGTGGCCAATTACCTTAAGGAGACCTAATTCAGAAAAAAAGCCAACAAGAACGATATTCACACCAAGCTCAATCTCGTACGAGGCATGTATCATCCGCAAGATACGTACTTGATTGGCCAAATATGGGTTAAAAACTAAGTTGCTCCGACACGTCACTTTATTGCTCCGACACGTCACTTTAGGTGCCCCACCCGTGTAAACATGACACTAGTATGGGTGTGGGTATGGGATCCGTACCGGATCTGGTCAAACAATTTTGGGCACTTTGACCACAATAGAGCAGAAAATTTCGAGACGAGATACAATTTGATCAGTGTTATCAAAAGCGAAAAGCGTAAAAAAGCTCTAAGGTCCGTTGGGGCTTTAAGCGCAAAGCACAAATAAAGCGTGGGCTTTAATGAAAAAAAGGCGCAACGGGAGAAAAAGTAAAAATATATATATGTAGTCCAAGACTAATAATTATAAGCATGAATAACAAATATATGGACAAAAAAATTGGAAAACAATTACGATAAAGTAAAATATCAATTGTTTAATGTCACCATTTCATGATTACACTTATTAGCAAGGAATAGTATGCCTTGATGCGATACTAAAGCGCCCACAAAGCGAGGCAAAGCGTTCAACATGTTTCGAGCCTCGCTTCAGGGCTTAAGCGCGCTTTAAGTGCGCCTTTGACAACACTGAATTTGATTCACGAAATCAGAACCAAAACTAGGGTCCATTTAAAGAAAATAGCATACTTTATATAGGAAATCAATCCTTTACTTATCTACAACTTGAGAATAAAAAAGAAATCCATGCTTTACAAACTATACGTAAGTATTCCACAAAATTTCTCTAACTTGAGAGATTTTATATTTATATTTTTTTGAACTATTTTTAGTCGGATCCCCGCACCCGTATCCGTACTAGGACCCATATCCCCGAACCGTAGAATTTACATCTCGAAGGATCCGATCGGACCTCTAGATCCGCAGCCGTGTCCGAGCAACTTAGGTTAAAAACCTATAGAGAGGCATGTACAAGCCACAAGAATTGTTGCACCACATGGTTTTTATTTGAGGTGCTATAGACATATCCATTGAAGTTCCTAGATTTAAGGCATCAGCAGAAGATTTGTGTGCCATTATCATAATTAAACAATCAAGTGAATACACTTATACTAAGGTTCTAATGGCAAAATTATACCTAGTTCCTTAGCGATAATTGTGCTAAAACCATATGTTAGCAATACATAGACAATTCAGTCAGTTGATAATGATGTTTTTTCGTTTTGCTATACATTTTAGCAACTATATATTCACAGAATGATGAATAAAATCATGACACTTGGATAAGCAATTAAATGTAGCAAACACTGGGAGCCATCTGTCTATTATAATGCTGCTGTTCACTAACTTAAGGTAGCATGACTCACGGAAAACATGCCATTGACACTGAGATTCCATATAAGTTTATCCTTTGCAAGTGGATCCATTGCCACCTTTCGAGTTGAATATAAAGGTTTCACTAACTCCCCAACCTCTCGTCGTGGAAGTTTCTTTTGAAAGATAGGTTCCAGGTATTTCCTTCTCTGCATTGCCTGACAGTGGCAAGAGTGGATGAGCACAGTCAATATCCCAACTAAATTAGGCTGTTTTAGCTGGGTGACACTAACAGGAGGTTGCCATACATGAAATCCTAGCTAATAGAGGATTCTATCTAACCAGCATGCTACATGTGTCTCCAACACTCTCAGGATATTTGCCATCTTTTCTTACAGTGCCACACTGCAAGGGACATGGAGCATGTTCTACAGCCTTCTTGGGGTGCACTGGGCAATGGCACCGCTGTCAAAGGCGAAAAGTGTTAAGAAGCGGTCCAGGTCTATCGGGGCTTTTAAGCACAAAGCGCAATCAAAGTGTGGGCTTTAGTTAAAAAAGGCTCAACAAAGAAAAAAAGAAAAAAATGTGTAGTCAAGAAAAAATTCATTTGCAATGATTTCCTTAACAATTAATGTATCTTTTTGCAAATCACATTTATTGTGTAGTACCACTTCTCAAGATAGAACTTATGGGCAATGAGACCCACATTTTAGTGCCTTGCCTACATTGAAACGCAACCTAAGTGAAGCGAAGTGCCTACCCTGAGCTTCTCTGAGCTTCAAGGCTTAAGTGCGCCTTAAATGAGCCTTTGACAACATCGCGATGCCTTACGGTGTTAGAGATACATCCAGGTGTTGAGGAGAGTGGAACCTGGAAAGTAAACAAATCATTTGGGAACTTTGGCAGATAGTAGCATGCGTTTTTTGCTGCATATGGAATAATAAGAACCAAAGACGTTTTGAAGGAGTCTTAACCCCTATCCATGAGCTTAATACTAGATGCATCTTGAACTTTTTTGTTGTTGTAATCTTCATTCTGTAAATAGTTTTAATGAGTTTTTGTGACTTCGTTAGCTCCTTAGAATTCATATAGGAGATTCAGTGTAAAAGGAGCTGACCAATTTTTTTTTGCTCACTTACTTAAATTTTGCATCTACTGGATGCACTATCAATGAAACCTCTAATTTACAACAACAACAACAACAACAATATCCCCAGTATACTCCCACAGTGTGGGGGGTATGGGAGGATAATGTGTACGTAGAGGTAGAGAGGTTGTTTCCAATAGACCAGGCATTTTTCACGTCAAGCTGGCGAATGGGCCAATTTTGTGAGATGAAAACTGCTAGAACTGAATTTAGTAGTCCGGAATGGTAAGGAAAACCATAATGGACTAAATTGATGAGAGGCATCCTTTCTTTAAGCGGTCCATATCTTGGCCACCACATCATTTTGAACTATTCACGGCTCAAGGGAAACAATTCACATCAGGAAACCTCTAATTTACTGATCAAAAAAATAAATAAGGAAACAAGTTTAAGTGCCTTCAGTAATCAACTTTCCTCTGTAGTAGAGGCTCTGATTAAAATCTGGAGTGATACACTTATACTAAACTTTAACCAATTTTTGATAAATACTGCCTCTATCATGTCAGAATTGGAACTCCTAAGTCCTAAGATCATTACCTAATGATTTTTTGACCTACTGTTTCATAAGCATCACTTCTTTACAAATTGCAACTGTTTACCCACACGCACATTTGTGGATTCAAAATAGTAACTTATTCTCATTTCATGGATTTCTTTTCATTGAGCTGTGAGGCGAAAAGAGCAAGGTCCGTGTCAACAACATTTTTACCAGAGTGAAACTCCAGATTCCACTTTTAGTTCCTAGTTGATGCACAATTAATACAAAATATTTTCAATACTCAAACTAACTGCAACCAAACTGAATGAGAGAGAGAGAGAGAGAGAGAGAGAGAGAGAGAGATGGATGGAGAAAGAAAATGGCATGTTCCATTTTTGTCTTATGATTTTAATCATTAATTTACAAATCCATATCAGTGGATAAATGTTGCTAGTCAATAATAAGTTTGCGGAGAAGAAGCACGCAAACCTTGGGTGACTTAGGCATTTCCTTGAGAAGAACAGAAGGTCTACTGAGTTCTGAGAGCTGCAAATCCAATAGAAATTTGCCCATGGGAAGGATTCAGAGCAAGTCAACCTGAAATTCCAACTTCCAAGTAAACCATCTTTAAATCAAAAATAATTTAAAAGGCAATCATTAGTTCCTCGGATTATGTTTGTTCGGAACAGATTCAGAATATTTCTATTTTCCAGGACACATTTTGCAATCTCAACTATTTAATTAAGAATGTTAGATGATACAGAATTATACCAATACTCATATTTGACAAATAAGCACTCCCCAATATGCAAATAAATGTAGAAACATTCAAGAAAGATGTCAACACATAGGTGTTCTATCCGAAACATGCAAAAAGACATAACCAGATGGGTGTTCGGAGATACAAACCATTTCTGATACGGTGCAACCTATGAGTTGATTGCATTAATTAGAGTCTGCGATAAATCTCTGTCAAGTGTAAAACCCTTCTCCATCATTTGATCCCAAATTGCACAAGCCACTGAGAGGTTCTTCTCCTGTACGAGGCCTCCAATAATCAATTTGAAGGTGATTTCATCTGGATCCAAAGCTCTAGCTTGCATATCTTCATAAAGACGCAGAGCTTCATTTACTCTAGTAGCCTTGCAAAATCCGCTGATTAGTGCATTATACGAGATAACATCAGCCCCAACACCCTGTTCCACCATATCATGGAAAATGCTCTGAGCCATCCCTATTTTACCTGTCTTGCACAGGTTATCTATAATAGAAGTGTAGAGTACACGATCTGGAAAGCGGCCCATGCTGATCATCTGATCAAAAAGTGCCTTGGCTACACTGGAATTGCCTTCCTTTAGAGAAGCTTCTATAAGAATTGTAAAAGTTACAACATCAGGAACAATTCCTTTTTGCTCCATCTCCTCGAAGAGATTGTATGCCCTCTTATTGCAGTCTGTCTTGCAGAGCGCTCTAATAATAGTATTATAAGATACAACATCTACCAAGCCTTTGGCCTCCATCTTGTGGGTCATTAGCTTATAAGCCTTATCCAATCTATTGGCTTTGCAGAGACCTTTAAGAAGCTGGTTATAGCTGTAACAATCAGGTTTCAACCCATTTCCTTCCATCTTCTCTATCAACTTCTCCGCCTCTTCCAACATAAGCTCCTTACAACAGTAATTCAAGAACACATTATAAGTAACTAAATCTGGTTCACACCCGTTTCTCCTCATGAACGTTTTAATTGCTTGTGCTTTGTCAATCCTACCAGCTCCGCAAAACCCATGTATCAGCACATTGTATATTTCCGTGTTGAATTTGACTTGACCCCTTAGAATACCCAAAGTCAGCTCATAAGCCAAATCAACCTTACCACTCCCACACAAGCCGAAAACAAGAGCTTTACAAGCCTTATTGTCTGGAATTAATCCTTTCCTAATCATTGTATGCCACATTTCAACAGCATTATCAAAGCGTCCAATCCTACACAGCCCACTAATAAGAATGGTATAACTCACAACATCAGGCTCTTTCCCTTTCGTTCCCATTACTCCAAACAACTCCAAAGCAATTTCAACCAAATGTTCACTGCACAAAAGATTCAAATACGTATTATAAGCCCAAAAATCAGGGACTATACCAATCATATCCATGTCATTAAGAAGCCTATGAATAAGATCCAAGTTCTTAACTTTACACAAACCACAAATGAATCTTGAATATGTCAATGAATTTAAGGAAAACCCCATAGGCTTCATTTCATGATAGTAGCATTCTGCTAAATCAAAACGCGAGTTACGAATCAAAACGCCAATTATTCTATTGTAATCAATGCTGAAAACTCTGCAGTCTGACTGAGTCATTTCGTCGAACACCTGGAGTGCTTCGTTCACTAGGCCGGTCTTCACGTAATTTGACATGCGGGAACGGTATATGAGTCGATGCTTACCAAGAGTTCTATACATATCAATGTGGATTCCTCAGAAGCGAAAGCATAGCATCGCTTCCTTCAGCTCAAAGGCAAGGGCGGCTCTAGGGTAAGGCAAGGGCCCCCAAATAATTAAGGCCCCAAATATAAAAATTATTACTATATTATTATATAATATATATATTCCATAATTTATATTTATATAATTATTAATAAAAAATTATAAATTTTAATAACTTTTAACATTTGGTAGACGTAAGATTGAGTTAATTGGAAAAAAATTTGTCACTAAATTAAATAATATACTTACCTTCTCATCAATTTATTTTTCTTTCTTTATGTATAGTCTTTTTTCATGGTTCTTACGATTTTACTTTCTAATTTCAACTCCAACTCTCCAAATTAACTATTTCTTTTCATCACATTTGATTGATCCACACACCAGAAAGCAAGTTCTTTTGTGTCTCAACGTTTTTTACTAAGAAATCCCCGAAGCAAATGTTGCAAGGTTCAAAACATGATAAATAATGAGCTCTCCCTTTACCATTTCACTTAAGGAAAGAATTCAATTCCATATGATGCGCGCCTAAGTGATACATCATGAGTTGTGCTCTCACCACTATATCAAAGTCATGTAGGTGTTTTTTGTGTCTCAATATTATATGAATTTTATAAGAGACGTTCAGGGTCTTTTTAATATATTTTGGTTTAGGCCACCAGTTTTGTTGAGCCGCCTCATTGACAATCAACAATTATTTACAGACTACTGCCCCACTATAAACGTACTATTCAACCAGCTTCATTCACATTTGGTAACTGAATGACAAACTCCCTGCCTTTAATGCTCTTGTCATAGTTGCCTTATTTTAAGTGAGACTCTATAAATTTTATTGAGAATGTCAGAGGCGGATAAGTGGCTCTAGTAGGAGACTAGTAAAGCCTTGATTTAAGTCCCCGAAAAATTTTATTAATAAATTTTATAATTGTATTTCAGATTGGATAATATAAATGTTTGTAGAAAAATAAAAAGTACAAAGAAAATTATAAAAAAGAAAGAAAGATGTCTACTCTTAAACAGTAAAAATACTTTTAAAACTTTGAATTGAACTACTTAAATCTTCATATTAGTAAACATATTTTTTACAAAAATATCAAATGAAACATATTGCAAATACATGTCTAATATCTCATTTATTTAAATTTTCCTTTTTAATATAAATAATAATATTACTATGTGAGTTAAAGACTTTATGTCATTTAAGAATATATGCTATAAACAACAAGTATGAAAAAATGACAAGATTAATTTTTTTTGCATATATGTGTGTATACGTACTAATAAAAAAAGTATAAGGCCTTTTATTAAAATTTGGCTTTAGGCCACCAATTTTACGGAGCCGCCCTTGCTCAAAGGCGCCAATATATGTTGAAATATTGGCTTGACGTAGAAGTGTTTACATTAGTTAACAGTAAATTGTACAGGATGATGATGATGATAAGGTTAACGGGGAAGCTTCAGCATGGGCAAAAGTACAGATTACAGCGAAGTAATTTCATGCGCTTTGTGCTTAAAAAGAAAAAAGGGGGGAAGGGGGGTGGTTGGAGAGAGAGGGGGAAAGGAGGTTTCGGCGACGGAGAAGATTGGCAGGGGAGAAAGGGATTTGGGGGCCCAAATCCAAAGTCCAAACTCTTTAGACGAAAGACGACGAGTTCAAAACTTTAACTACAGTGCAATGCAAAGGATCAATTTTCTATAATGGACTGTGATGTGGGCTTTATGCTTCTCTAGCATCGGTGTGATTTGCAAAAATGTACATATTTCACGGGCCACCCTATTTAATTTATATCCATTTTTTTAGAAAAATTTAGTTAATATCCAAAGTAGAGATAACTTCAGGTCGTTTGTTTCTCCTTTTCCTCCCTTCCCTCCCCTTTCTTCTTGTTCTTCTTCTTCTTCTTCTTCTTCTTCTTCTTCTTCTTTTTCGTCGTCGTTGTCGTCGTTGTGAAAACAAAAGTGATTGTGAATTTACATGATGTTTTTGAGCATATCTTAAGGCGCTTTATGAAATTTTATAGTAGTGAGCTAATAGGGCACTCCTTTCTTTACTACTTGCTTACCTTAAAATGGATAACAATTGAATTTATACGTAGTTTTAAAGATATGTGGATTGATTCAACACAAATGGTCAAGAATGTTAGATAAGCGAATTTAAGATAAATAAATAACCAAACCAGCTGTGACGTTGAGTCTAGGCTCGGATCTAAGTTTAACAATTAATTGTTCTACCCTCGATTCGGAGCCAAACGTGTATGAAGAGTTATGATTAGAATAAGAACCTTTTAATAACTAGAAAGTAGAGAAACAAGTTTGTATTGCCTTGGTATGCATGTTACAGTGTGTCCATTGAATAAGAAACTTTCCCTTTATATAGTAGGGGAGTATTACCCTTAGTACAATTCTAAAATAGGTAAAAATTCTCCTTGTACATCAATTACTGATACGCTAACGGCATCGGGCAAGATTTGCGCCGTGATATCCGATTGGGTACGGATATCACAACCCTTTATTAGTCGTGTGCAACCGTTTATAGTGCTTTCCGAGGTCATGGGGCTCGTACCGGGTTCGGGGAGTGTTTTCTTATCGGGCCCAGTGACGAGTCCTCCATTCCGGCCTTAGTACGAGAAGTTCCCTGCTTCGATTTTGATCCTATGTAGTCATGTCTTTGCTTCGTTTGACCCACTAGGAAATCGGGGTGCTCATTAGCCCCAATTTTACCCGTATACAAATAGTCCCCTCGTTTCCCAGAGAGTAGGTTTGTCGAAACGATAAGAAACGATAGATGAACCCCGGTTCCTTCCTTCGCACATTACAACCGGGATGGCGGATAAGACAAAATGTCCCATAATTCGCGTCGTTCTGACTTCGGACACGTGTCATTAAATGGCTGGTTACCTCCGAATGTGTCGCTAACTTCCCCTATAAAAGCTTCCCCCCCTCACTTTCTTAACTTTCTAATCCTGGCTTTTACTTTCGAACTCCACAAAGGCTTTTGACTTTCTCAAATCTTCATATCTCGCTTCCTGAACCTTCATACCTTCATCTTTAACCCCAAATCTTCATACATTTTCTGGGATTTTCAACCCAGGACCTCATATCTTCACTTGTATACTTCAAATCTTCATAAACTTCATTCAAATCTTCTTACACCTTTTTCAAATCTTCATATATTTTCCAGATTTACGATGGCCAAGACTTCTAAATCAGTCCCTCAGCAGGCTGCCTCTTTATCTTCCCACTCGGCTACGGATGCCGAGGTGGTTGCTCCCGTGAAAAGCTTTATACCCGGAGGTTTCTCAATCGCAAACGACTTTAAATTCGAGAAGACCTCATTCAAACAGGACCGGAGTGAAGGAACATGGAGATACTTATGCTCCATTACTGAATATGTCCTAAATGGGAAGGCAAGGATGTGGTAATCCCCGGGCCCAAGGACGATATTACTACCCACATGGAGGGGTACTCGAATGTTTACACTTACCTCTTCATGTTGGACCCAGTAGACCCAATAGTTTTGGCCTTCTACAAGAGATACAAGGTGTGCCTTGGGCAAATCCACCTGTCTCTTTGGAGGATCATGATCCTCCTACGTTTTTTTGTGAACAACACCGAATCTTCTCAGTTCACCCTCAACCACCTACTCCGTCTATTTAGTCCCCGAATCTTCTGAGGGGGACTAATCAAACTCATTTGCCGTGCCAGCAAGGCTCCCTTTTCGAGCATCGACGATGATCGAGATCAAGGCTAGCAGGGGCGCTTCGTTCGGGTAAAAATTGAGGATTTGATCCCTCCCAAATTCCTGCCATTTCTCGAGAAGTGGAATGCATCTCGTAAGTGTAGCCGTTTCTTAAGTGTCAAGTTTCTATTGTTTCCTTTCTCACCATCAGTATTCGAAATCGTACAGCGGTTGCTCGGGTTCCCAATGCAGCCCCCCAACTCAAGGAGTGGATCGGAGGCATCTGCAAGCAGTTGTCGTACTTTGAGCGCTCGTGGAGCAAGCTTTCGAAGGGTCGATGGGAGGCCCGTTCTCATGGTAACTTCTCCTTCGAATAGCTATTACTATGCTCTAAACTTATATAATGCTAATCTCTCATTTTATTTTGCAGGTTTGCCCAAGACCACCAAACTTGGGCCGTTGGAAGGGGACGAAGATGTGTCCTTGTCCATTAATCCGTCCGTTCTAGAGCAGCCCCGGGTTGCTGTTGATACCCAATTTTTTCCTATATATTTTTCATATGCAAAATACTTTCAAAATAGCATATGTATGCATATATAAGCATGCCCAAGTGTTTTATTATTTTTTCCAATTTTAAAAGATTTTTTAATCAATTTATCGCCTTATTTTATCAGTAAAAAACCAATAATTATTTCTCAAATTATCATTTTTGGTAATTACTTTATTGTATTATCATATTTACACTAAAATATAGCTAAGATAATTTTTGCACATTTTTTTACAAGTTTATTTAGCATTTTAAAGTTATATTGCATAAAATTACAATTTTTGCCTATTTTAAGATTTAATTGTGTCTATAATTACAAAATTGATTCCAGTATTTTTAATTCAATATTTATATATTATTAATAAAATTAGTATCTTTAATTTGTTCCAAAAATTTTTACTATTTTTTATAAAATAAAAAGGGAAAAAGTGGCTATTTAAATACTAGCCCTAACTATTTCGATTTTAGCCTAAATCAACCCCCCCAATTAACCCAATTTTCATTCCCAAATTGACCGGCCCAATTCCTAAATTACCCGCCCCTGGCCCAATTTAATCCAACCCGCCCGGCTCCCCTTTGATCCAGGTCGTTGATCAAAATGATCAACGGCCACATTTCCTCCTTTCCTTTTTTATTTGTCAACCCCACCAACCCTACCTCATTTCTCACCAACCGCCGCCTCTGAACTCTCAAACTCTCTCGAAGTTTCCTTAACCCTAGCCGCCTCCTACCACTTCTACCTTGAAACCCACCGGAATCCATGGCTTCCTAGGCTATGAGAGTCTTATACCCACCTTCTCTTGCTCCCACGCGCCTGATACATGAAGATTCGACGCTTGATTA